CCTGCCAACCGGCTCATCCGTTTCGATTCAAACTCTTGAAACAGCCTCCCTACAGACTCAAACGCCACCTTTGACACGGTATCCGAGTTGTCAAGCATGTTCTGCCCAATCCTTGCCCACCAATTCGAAACCCTATCGAGCAAGTTAATGTTGTTCTCGCATAGAGTCACGAGATCATCCCGCGCAAGGATACAACCAAGTGTCTCAGTGATGGAGAATCGGAGGTTTTCAGAGGACGAGTCGAAGCAGCTGGAGATTTGCTTGTTGCAGTCCGATATGAGTTTACCCAGCCGGAAGTAAGGGATAGCCGCGAGAATAGAGACGGCGGCAGCGGTTACATCCGGGTCAGGGAACTCGAGGTCGTTACGAATTCCTGTACATACAGTTTCCCATAAGTCGGCGGTTAGTCGAGTCGATCTGATCAGGTCGAAAGCTAGTTTTTTCGAAATGGCAGAGGCAGGAGCGGCCACGATCTCCTCGACTGCGGATTTCGCAATGATGGAGATATCACGGCCCGCCGCCGATTGCTGGAGGGCTTGAAGGAGAGCTCCGGATTGCCGGAGGGCATCATTTGACCTGAGATCCGCTTGGATCTGCGCGAATAGTATGTCCATTTAACCGCCGGAAAGCGCAACTGGTGGCGAGACTCCGGCTACCAAGTACTTCAGGTGGTATCTCAGACTTCCCAGTTCCGACTCCTAACTATACAATAAGAAAGTCCTCGTCAGTCCCAAGAATTAAGTTCAAATACTCCATAATTAAAGTTTCCGCTTTCATTTTTTGAACATCGACAATTAATATTCTCATTTTCATTTTAGACAATAAAATTAATGAAAAAAGTCTTTATACCCCTCTCACTTCCCTCACCTCACATACCCCACTACCTATACCCACGCTATCACCCTAAATAATTCAACCCTTACATTTATCTCACTCACTCCATTGTTATATCTTCTTTGTCTCTTCCCTCATCTCACATCCACTCGCTTCGTTTTCCTCACCCATCTCATTCATCGTCTCTTAAATCCAGATCTAGGACCTCTTCTTCCTCCCAATCGCCTACTCCATGAAATAGATCTAGAGTTTCTCTCCCCTAAGTTGCTCTATCCTATATCCCAATAAGTATGTAACCTGAAAGTTATCCTTACGTTTTCATAGTGTCAGAGACTCCAAATGTCTTCGCCAGTCAAGAGGAGTTCGAGGATGCCGAGATAGATATATCTGGTGTAGGGGAATAGGAGATCGAGCAACTTCCCCCCAAATATTCGTGGCGATGAAGGTGAGATGGTGGCAGTAGTTGTGCCTGATTCTGAGGAAGAGGATGATGCTTTGATGGCCCCAAGCTCTGGCTTCGTGTGTATTAGAAAGCATGTAGGGTTCTACTTCCTCTAGGGTCAAGTAGTACTTTTGGCCTTTTGGGATGTCTTTGTAAAAAAATCATTTTTCATTAATGTGTAAAATATTTTTAAAACTCATGAAAGTTAGGTTTGATGGAATATTAGATGGCTCTACTTGGTCCAAACAAAGTCTCTTATTTGCCTCATTAAGTGAGGGCTTAATTGCATTACTATGACTTTGAAGAATCCCTCTTTTCACTCAGTTATGGCCTGTAGACTTGCACGCACCTGCTGCAGAGGCTAGTGACCTGATTGTGGTTCCCCTTCGCAGTGTGATGTCTTCAATTGCATCCAAGTCTACTGCAAGTCTTTTCTTCCCAACCCTTCGTGTCATATTTGTTGGTCTTATGGGGGACCATCGATCACCCTGTAGGGATTCGTTACTGTGCTTAGCACGGTATCGGGTATTGACAGCCCAACCTGACGAGGTACATGAGTCGTGTATCTTGCGAAGCCCCTCCTGTCCATCCACCGCTCAGTAGTGGGGCTCCGCACTGCCGTAGTGAACTATAGGGGGTGCCCTATAGGAATCTACCTCGGCTTGGGGCTACAGAGAGATGTGGTTAAATACAAAGTGTCCACCTTCCTATCACCAATTGATTTTAAGAAGCATTTGGCACCTCTTTAACTTCAGAACTCTGTAGTTAAGCGTGCTGGAATGGGAGTAGTCCCAGGATGGGTGACCCACGGGGAAGTTCCAGAAAACGATCCTACAGGTGGTATCGGAGCGAGGAAGCAGGCTCGAATCCCCCGGGTGTCGCTGGGGGGGGGGAGATTGTTGGTCTTATGGGGGACCATCGATCACCCTTAGGGATTCGCTACTGTGCTCAGCACGGTATCGGGTATTGAGAGCCCAACCTGACGAGGTACATGAGTCGTGTATCTTGCGAAGCCCCTCCTGTCCATCCACCGCTCAATAGTGGGGCTCCGCACTATCGTAGTGAACTATAGGGGGTGCCCTATAGGAATCTACCTCGGCTTGGGGCTACAGAGAGATGTGGTTAAATACAAAGTGTCCACCTTCCTATCACCAATTGGTTTTAGGAAGCATTTGGCACCTTTTTAACTTCAGAACTCTGTAGTTAAGCGTGCTGGAACGGGAGTAGTCCCAGGATGGGTGACCCACTGGGAAGTTCCAGAAAACAATCCTACAATATTGTTCCTTACATCAATGCAGTGTCCAACGTGTAGTTATGTCTTAGCTTTTGACCACGATTTCGAAACAATTCCTTGACTAACTCTGAACTCGAAAACAGCTCCATTCACATCACCTCTCTGACTAGTTTTTGTTCCCATGAAATTTATTTGAGCATGTAGCAACAAGTAGTCTATGATTCCTGCCTTTCTAAGTTTATAACTCAACGAAACGTGCACTCCGCACCACCAATCTTCTTTGATGATTATTAGGATACCATTGGTCATACTTTTTTTACAATTACACTAAAATATATAACATTTTCTACTGTAAATCTTAGTGAGGAAGGTAAAAAATTTCTCATGCCAAGTCTGATAATTTTCTTTGTAGGCTTGAACCGAATTGGTCATCAAACAATTCAAAAAATGCCGCCCATCCACATTTAGATGAAGAGACATATGTAAGATATATTTATGCTACTAATCACAAAATCTGCAAATTTTGTCTTAAATATTCTTTAAACTAATATCCTTTATAAACAGATTGATGGTTATAAACCACCGAGAATAAAGAATAATATAAGTTTTAGAGAGAGAGAATGCAAAGTAGGAGTTTATTCGTTCTAAACTTTGGTCCATTACAATGAGGGGTCTCGCCCCTTTTATAGGGGATGTAATACACATAGTCAAGGTTCTCTGATCGAGGTTCGTCGCCTAGCGGACGTCATCTCTGTCGTGAGTTGTCCTTTTCATCGTGTCGCTATCGTGCAGTCAACGCGGCCAGTCGCTTTCCTCCCATCGCTGTCATGACGCCTAGCCGAGCTCATAGGCCGAGCCGAGCTCAAAAGCCGAGCAGAAAGCTCTTCCACGTGGGTGATTAGGTACGGCCAACGTGTCTTTTGGAATCATCCTCCATCATAAGCCCCCCACTCTCCGGGTTTCGTTGCAATCGGCGACGAGACACGAGAGAGTATAGGTACTGTAGGAAAGCCGCGGGGGG